GGACACACAATTTCCTCTTCATTATTTTACGGAGAAATTTTCAAAAGAAATTTTTCTCCCTTGAATTGAAGAGTTTTTCCTGCTGTTAGCTGAGAATGAGTTGTTTGAATTTTGTACCTCAACCAACAATAATCAAATTAAAGCAAAGCCTTATTATGGAATTTGACATTTACATTTTCATGGGTAGTGGTCCTAATCAGTCCCTGAGTTTATTATGAAGACAATAAATAACTTATGACACTACTGGTATAGGGTACTGAGGATTCAGAGGACTCCTTCCAGTTGTTTTTATGCCCATTCTTTAGTCCAAATACTCCTTTTCCAAGTGTGAATATTATGAGGTTTGCAACCACAATGAAATTTCACTATTTTCTGCAACTCCTGGTATCAATGTCTGGGAACTGGAAGTCCAACTTCTGTTTCTGAACAGAAGAGCCAAACATCTTGCTACTGCTCAGCCTTGGGGACAGAACAGAAACAAGAATCAGTGCATTCTATTTCTTAAAAGTAAACTTCAATTGAGATAAAATTTGTGAAGTTTAGTTTTTCCACACAGCTCTTTCAAGAGAGCTCTTTCTCTCTCTAAGAGAGATAACAGTGTCTTTGTGTTTGGGAAAAGGTATATGGGATAAGACAGAGGAAAAAGGTTCAATGGGCTTTAGGAAAACAGCTCATGGAAATCAAGACAAAAATATAGTCATACTGGAAAAAAAATTGTTCATTAGGAAGGTGTATCTTGGTGAGAAGAGCAACTGGTAATAAAGCATTTCAACCAGCTCCACTAAAGACCACGTATTTTCAACTTGACAAAAATATCTTCTCACTTCTTTAATTTAATAGAAGTAAAGAACCACCTGTACCAGGAAGAAAACTAATTTGAACAAGAAGGATTTACATAGAAGTAAGAGATGGATTTGGGAATACACTCCTGTAAGGTCTCATCACATCTCCCATGTCCTCACGTGCAGAGTGGATGGATCTGCCAGACCTGCAGCAGGAGGGTTCTCCTGGGAGCACTGCAGAGCAAGCACATTGCCTTCACACCTGCCTTTAGTTGCACTTTTTATTGCACTTCTTTTGAGACAATTTGCATAGTAATTTTTCTAGTCACCTCAAATATATCAGCTTAGCACAGCAGAGCAAACCTGTGCCTGTTCCTTGCTTCTTTACCGTTCTGTATCCATATGTGCTCTCCAGTTACATATGGAGTGTAGATACACTTTCCAGTTTAATAAATATGAATCTCAAAGTTCAGATTAAAGAAGTGTATCTGATTTTTTTTTCTCTAATGGTTTCTGATATGCGTTTTTTTATCTGAAAGGCAAGCTTACACTCTGGTGAAACCACCTTTGTAAAAGGAAATTTTCTGTAAATCACAGCCCTCTTTGGCCATTCTTTATATTACAGAAGTGGCAGAACTGTTTAACAAAAGTGAAAAAAATCAAAATATGCCAACCTTTTCCCCTCAGTAGGTTTCCATGGTACCATGCTCATATAATACACAGTGACATGTGGCCCTGGAGGAACCTGCAGTCTTCCTGGACTGACACCAAAAGTCTACAGTTCAGTTAATTCAGTATTACACAATGTAACCAATACAGAATGACTTAAATTTATTTTGGATTATTTTTTCTCCACTATGAAAATACTCTGACACTCATATCACTGATTTATGTGATGGCATTCAGGAATTCAGTGCTAATTTATGCTGTTGTATTTCTTGGATTGCTTAGGACCACAGACAGATGAAATGCAATATCTTCTGTGCTTGTTTATACATAAATTCAGCTCTTGTTTTGTTACACTTGATGCAACTTGGGCAGCTACACTTTTTAAAATTTCCCTTGTGCAAATTATTATTAAACATTTATTTAGGACCCTTTAGCAGTGGCCAAAAAGCATGTATAACTTTCTTTTCTTAACAGGATTTTACACAGAAATTACTGTGTTACTTTCTGAGATTCAAGGATAAGTAATGACTGTTTATCTCACAGGCTACTAATGAGGCCTGGATAGAATGGATGGACGGAAGATTGAGCAAATCCCAAGGCAGGAATCAGTCCTTCACAAACAGTGCTCTTTGCAGACCTAGATAAGTGAATGGTATAGGGTAGCTAAGTATGAAAATTAGTACAAAGCTAGAAACAAAATAAATTGCAGTATTATTTAGGTGTCAGCAATGTGCAACCCTTGAGCAAGACAAGGAAATCCAGAAAGGACAGTTCCACTGACACAAATAAGTAAAGACAGAAATGAAACCCTGAATGGGAGGTGAACACACAGACAAAGTGGCAATAAACAAACTGAACACAAGATGAACAGCCAGAGAAATAAATAAATAAAGGCAAAATAAGTGCCAACAAGCAAGACAGATGCAAAACACTCCAAGCAGCTGTTAAAAAAGAAAAAGAGAAAAAAAAGAAAAAGCATGCAATATTACACCCAAGTGGAAGAAATTCCCAGTGCATGAAATTTCAGGGCTATGTCCTAGAATGCCCTAATTTCTGTGAATTCCATTGGAGAATTTTGTTCATGCAGCCTGTATTGGTGGACACTGGCTGGTGGAGACTTTGGGCTATCATCAGTTTCCTTTTTTAGTTTTTTTTTTTTCTTAAAGGAGGAAGGAGCAAGGGGTTTTTTTCCCTGAGGTGTGTGGGCATATTCACTGCTGTGTATGTTGCAGATGCCCACAAAGTAAAGCATTTGTGATCCTGCACCCAGCCATGCCTTAGGGACCCATATTTGCAAAGTCTGCACAGTGGAAAATTCAGCTTTCAGTGGAAACACTATTGTTCACAGACTTCCGAAAATACTTGTATATCTAATAAAATAGTTTTAGTAAATTAATTTTGAAACATTCTGCTTTAGTTTGGTTTTCTTCTCTTTAGTTAATCACTGTTATTAAAGTTTCAGTGCTGGATAATTTTTTCATCCTGGACTTCTTGGGCTATAGTGGTCATTATAGAAGAAATAAAAATATTTTAAAATCAAGTGTTAAAATAGCTCTTTTTCTTTGTAGTAGAGAAAACCAACCATTTCAAAAATGTAGTTTGGGAGAATTCTTATGCTTCAATTTGCAACCAGTTTTTCTATTTTCTCTACACTTATATAAAAATAGTTGTACTATTTTGTGTTGGAAGATTTGAGCTTTTCATCATTGTGGATGGCCCTCATCTCTGCTAGAATGTATATTCCATTTGTCAAGGAATACTTCAATTTGCAACCAGTTTTTTTATTTTCTGTACACTTATATAAAAAAAAAGTTGTACTATTTTATGTTGGAAGATTTGAGCTTTTCATCGTTGTGGATAGCCCTCATCTCTGCTAGAATGTATATTCCATTTGTCAAGGAATCCTATTTAGAAGAGCAGTGATATCTGTAAACATTAGGTGAAACCCCCTGCTCTCCTGGTACCAAAAACTGAGGTGAAGGTATAGTCAGAACCTGGATTCAAGCCCATTTTGAATTCCAGAGTTGCTCTGTAAGCTACACTTCTGCAGGAGGCAGAATAGATAGAATTGAAGAGAGGGGTCCCTACCAGAACACATGTGAGAACAAAATAATGGGATAACTGATTGTGATGGAAGAAGAGCTGGAAATGCTGAAGTTCTTTGTCCCAGAGGTTATCTTATGATCATGCTGCCCAGAAACAAACATGAAGAGAGTGGTCCCTACCAGAACACATGTGAGAAAAAAAATCATGGGATAACTTATTGTAATGGAAGAAGAGCTGGAAATGGTGAAGTTCTTTGTCCCAGAGGTTATCTTATGATCGTGCTGCCCAGAAACAAACATGATAATAAAAGACTGATCAGGATGTGAAAGACTTGTCTAGAAAAGAATGTCCACATGGGAGTTGAATGGATTCTAGATATTTTAGATAATTTCTGTCTTCTCTATATGGAACTCATTTCATTAGCTTTGTTGGTCATTCTGGTATATAAGGATGTTTTGTACATAATAAGAAAAGAAAATATTCTTTAGTAGTTTGAGTATTTCTCAATCATGAGAGACATGATCTCGTTGACCTCTGCCTTGTATGATGTTGGAGCCACTCGTGGAAGGGAGGGCACTGGCATGATAAACAGCATTATCCCACCTCTCAGGAGCTGCTTCTTATTGGCCTCTTCCCTTGTGTGACTCAAACCCAGCTTCTTGCTAAACAGAGGTTGATTTGTCGTGGTCCTCCTCTGGTGCTCACAGCCTCTGCCTGGGCTGTACCTCTCACACACCAGCAAAGCACTCCTGCTTTTGCAGTGCTCCATTCTGAGTCATCTACCCTTCACTTAACATTTAGGTTTCTCACATGTGTTGATGTTTTGTCTCTAAGATAAGGCACAGTTGCACTGTACATAAATCATCAAACTTATTGGAACACACTTTGTGTTAGGAAAAATTATTGATTTTTTCTTTTTTTTTACAATTTTAAGATTTAAGAAAACCATGTTGGTTTCCTTAACCAACATGTGGTGAAGAAATGGCATAGTATTTAACAATCCTGAGAAGTCAATGGATCAACATCTTTGTACAAAAATTTCAGGAAAAGTAAATGCACTTGCAGTCTAAGAGCACACTATATTAATTAAAATTGTAGATTATTCATACTTATTATGGAAGCAAAGTCATTAATATTAAATGAGCAAAAATATTCTTGGAATTTAAACAATGCAGAACAAATTCTATAGTTAAATTCATGTCTGTAATTCCCGTGATCCTTAAGTCTTGACACTTGAGAGCAAATGTAGCAATTTCAGATCATATCCAGGTAATGTCTGTTGAATAGTATTTAAAATAGGAGAAAGATATTTTAAATTTAATTTTGTAAAACACAACCATTGTAATGGGTCTATGATTTAAAGAGTGTGGAGCATGCAAGCATGACAGACAGCTTAATAAACTTTACTGTGGAAGTGTTACACGGACAAAAATGAAGGTACCTTCAGGAAAATGACACACTGAGACAATTTTCTAATATTTTGTGTTGTTTTTTGTCTTCTAGAGTATCAGGGCTTCAGGGCTGGTGCTGCTGGAAACCATTCTTTTTGGATCACTTCTTCTGTACTTCCCAGTAAGTCAAACTATAACTTCTTAAAAAAAATTATAACCTTGCTGACATTTTAAAACGCTCTATGAATGACTCAGGTGAAAATATAAATGTAAAAACTATTTATTAATTATTAGTTTAATCTGATTACAAAATGTGCTGTTCTCTTCAAATATTCTTAAAAACACTCAAATGTTTTACTATATTTGTAATAATTCTCCATTTAAAATTTGGTAAAAATTACCAGTGATTTAATTGGAAGTTTTTGGGTGTTCTGGATTAAGATGAGATTTTGCTTTGAAAGACAACACCTCTCTGATCTATGGTATGGGGGAAAAAAGCAAGGTATGTAAAAGGAAGACACTGATTATACCAAATATTTCTCTGGAATGTAGTATAAATGAGATAAATTATTTCAGTGCATTACTGGCATGTATTTTGATGTCTCTGAAGGTATGTGGCATCTTCAATACCATGTCTTTGGGAAAATTAGATTGCATTACCCTTACCCTGTAAGTGAAAAAAAAAGTAATTTCATAATCACATGAGAAATATATCACAAAACTCATAGCAATATGTGTACATTTTCTTTTCAAAAGTCACAGAAAAGCTGAGCTTGTTAATTGCCACATAAACCCAAAGTAATGACTAGATAAAGCAAGACATCAAAGTGTATATTGAATAAAGTTGATAGAAAGCAAGCAGGTTGGGAGACAATCAAAGATGGAGTTTTGGACTATTTTAAAATATGTTTATGTTCTCTTTCCCTCAGTAGTCAGAATTTTTTGTGCTTTGACAGACCATCATGTAGTTACTGGAAGATGAGCTGGATAACAATACTCTTCAGTAGCTGCAGAACAAGTAGGAAATAAACTGCAGTAGAATGTGTGAAGAATACTATAAATAAACATAAACCCTAGTGGAATTTCTATACATTCTTTTTTTAAATAATGTGGGCCTTTCAAGTTCTAAAGAAAAAGTGTGTGGATAAAGAAAAAATTCTAGGATAGTTTTATGTATTTTTTCATCCTTCACTTTGCAGAAGTCAGGGAAATTAAAGTTTTTGGTGCTTTCATGTTGGACAAAAGTTTTTTGCAACTTGCAATAAATACATCTCCCATGGGTTTTCAGAGCTTCTTTCATATTTAGTTTCAGTGAACAGAACAGAAAGTCCATGCACTGCTTCCTCAGTTAGTGCTGTGGAGCATATTCATAGCATAAAGCATTATGCAAGGGCTTTCCTCTCCATGGCTGTCTCCTCTTCGCTTTCTCAGAGAACCCTGGGCTGGGTTGGCTTCCCCAGGCAGGTGCTCAGTTAGAACCAGTCAGTGTCTGTGCAGCCTCAGCTCCAAAGTGTGAGAAGCCTCATCACAGCTCATCAGAACTGTGTCTGCAGTCTGCTCACCTGTCACCCATCCTTCAGTGCATTTCCCAGTTCTTGTCCTGCTCCTCCATTTCTTGTGCTTCACAAAGGAGGAACATCCTTTGGTGGCTGGCTTCAGGTGCTCAGCACCTGCGACACTGAGCTCTTGCTGTGGAAAAAGACTTCTCTCAGCAGGTGACTTGAAGGACCATGGTGTTGGATGCTGGTGACCATCCACAACCTTTAAATGCAGAGGGAGAAGAAAGGAAGTGGTCCTGGGAGGGAGCAGTTCAATAACCCAAGTGTCCCCTCAGCTCTTCACTAACATTTAAGTCCCTTTTTCTTTTTCACTGACATTAAGGATGTTAAATGTACAACAAGTGTGAAAAGACAGTTTGATGTATTATGAGGAAAAAAATTTTGTAGGAAATTGCTGAGTAGCCCATGTCCCATACGGGATGTAGATACTTGACCAGAGCTTATCTTTCTCTGCAAATCTCAAGCTCCTACTATACAAAACTGTCTGCTGAGAACACATTCTATTAGAAATGAATAGGCACAGTGTAAGACTTGGCTTCTCTCTTCTAGCAGTTTTATGTTCCCACGCTCTTTGCTGGGGCACTCTTCTTTCTTATACAGGGAATTACTAATCAGGCTGTAACTCCTACAGACTCAGGAAAAAGAAAGAGAGCAATTTTATCATTTCTATTTTGAGGGTTTTAGGGGAGGGATGTAGAAAATGTGATAGTGGGAGGTCCTTTGCATTTTCAGGCAGAGAAATTAATCCTAATTTCACCAACCAGAAAAATATGGTTTTGTAAAATCAAAGAAGATCAGAAAGATCAGCTTTCCAAAATCTTTGTCCCTCAATTCACTGCAAGGAAGTTTTCATCAATTTCTGATTCAGGGCAAGACAGGGAAACAGTAAATGTGTGAAAGCTATAAGGCATAGTCTTTTTAAGAAAGAAAAGCTGCAAGGTGTGAATTATGAAGGGTGGGTCCTTTGGAATGTGAACTTTTGATGTTTTGCTGTACATGGACAGAATCTAAATGTGCTTACCTGCTTATTGTCTGGGAAAGGAGCACAAAGCAGAGCAGAATGACACAAGAAAGAAAACACAAGCTTTGAAAGAGTCTTGTTTTCATCAGCAGACATTCACACACATATTCTTTCATAGCAGGGTGTAGAGTAAATATATCATTATACATGTTGGTCATAAGTCATGTACCTGCAAAGCAGATTTATCTTTCATGGGTCATATTTATTTACCCCTTCATGTTATTTGGTGTTTTTATTTGCTTCCAAGAAGAGTTGGGAAGATTTTGTGACCTATAGGTGTGGGGAAAGACGTAGTAATATGTGCCCAGAGGTCATTGTTTCAGCTATTTGATTTGATCTTTATTTTATGCTAGAGGAGTACATTAGAGCTCTAAGACTAATTAATATAGATCTCACATCATATACAACCAAATCAGGCTGTGTTTTCCACAGATAGTATGAAATGTGAGTTAGTGTATGGAATGCAGTTCACAAGCACCACTGCAGTAGGGTGTTGTCTTTTAGCATAAGGCTGTTTTCCTTTGGTATCATCTCTTCTTCTATTGTGATTTGGAATGTAAAACTAAAAAGCTTTACTTTCACAATCAACCAAGTGTGGAATTACACAGCTTGGCTTAGTGCATGTAACAATGTAAAGATACTTAGGGATGGCATTTCAGTTCTAAATAACTGAAATCTCTATTCATTTGAGCATTCAGTGCAAAATTACACTCTTGTTTAAAAAACAAAATCCCCTTAGATTTTCTCAACACTGCTTTAAGTCTTTGGCATCTTTGTTCTCTGCCCTTCTACACTTCCCTAATTCTTTCTTTTTCTAGATCTGTTTACTCAGTCTGGCTCGGATTGTTTTGAGAGCCTTCAGCATACAAATTTCACTGTGTCTAGAAGGGGTTTATTCCATCTCTGACTTTCCCTACCCTCCAATTAAATGAAAACCAAAACTTACTTTGTTACATTGCTGAATTTCTTTCACTAATTGTTGTTGTTTTCATGCCTACATGCAGTAATCTATTCATAGTGTAACATCATTAATTGAAAAATAATATCACCAGTCAGCTGCTTTTGGTGAGAAAAACAGCTGTTACAATGCCCTTCTAACCAAATGGGAAGTGCAAATGATGGTCTCCACCTAAATTTATTATTCAAGTTCTGCTATACTCATAACAACACTGATCTTTCCTGAATTATAAGCAGGCAGATGAGCTTTGTCTATTACAAATGCATAGATTTTACTCAGAAGTTCTTGGGCAGCTCACATTTCTGAAACTCTCATTTCTTATATTTTCTGTAATGTCATGGTAACATCTCTAATTTGCCTTTACTTAGTCTTTCCAATTATCAATTGATCTCCTCCAAATGAACACTAGACTTTCTAATTGATTTTGTTTATATTTCTTCATTCTTAGATTTTGAACAGAAAGCCAAAACCCAACTGTCTTATGGATGAGTCCCTTAATTTCTGTGCTTGGCATCTGAGGGGAGGAATCTCATTACTTTCCTTGTCCAGAAACACCATTTTGAAACCTTTAGACCTTTATTAACTCCCTGTCTTGCTAATGCTTGGAACATGCTACCACAAGTTTAAAAACTCTTTTCTTTTTATAAAGACCTTCAAATAAAGTGAGCAGGAGCAAAATGTTTTAAGAGAGTAGCTTGTTAATTGCAATATAGAGGTCAGATCTCAGGTGATTTTAGACATCTGTGGTGGACACAAGTTGAAAAATAGGAGATTCTGATAAGGATTGTCAATTACCAAAACTTTTTGTCCAGAGTTTATGAAATTTGGAGGCGTCAGGACTTGACTGGGCCCAGGTCTGAGCAACATAACCTAGTTTTGGGCTGGGGGCTGGACCAGATGACCTGCAAAGCTCCCTTGCAAATGAAATTCTGTGAGTCTGTGTTTCTTATGTGTGCATCCATAGCTGAGACAGTCACCCTATGGTCACCAAATTCTGAAGAGGAACTGGGTCTTTTATGACTTGTTTTAGACTTGGGACTTGAAGATGGGGTGGATTGTGGCAAACACTTCAGGGAATATAAATGAAGTCTGAGGTACTTGCCTCAAATGGTGTCGAATTCTGCCCTAGGCAGCTAGGATTATCTGATATATGAAATAGTTCCCATACTGCTAGTCTGCATTGACTGAAACTCCAAAATACATACAATGGATTGCATGATATAGTGATATGATAGAATTTCTACAGTCAGTGATTAAAGTTAAGTAAGTATGGTGAAAGTTGTTAGACAGTGAGGCTGAATCTTGTAACAGTGATGTCAGCTAGATCATAAGATGGACTAGCTTTGGAGGCCACAGAGTATCTTTCTAAAAACTTACAATTTTTTCTTTCAGTCTTCCTTTCCTTTGGCTAAAAAAAAAAAAAAAAAATAGAGCCAAATTCATTACAGTTTTTCCAAGCTGCAAATTACAAAAAAGGCAATATTGTTACCAGTGCAGAGAAATGCAGCTGCGGGTTGGGGGGCATTGACTTCCTAATGCCCATGAAATGCCCATGAAGTAGTTGAGTAGTGAATCCTGGAAAAAACTTTGTGCTCAGACATCTTGTTGCATGTGTTAGGAGTTAAGATCTGTTTCTGGGGTTA